GTCTTTTAGGACAATTTTGAGTCATTTTCATCGCATTTTGAGTCATTCTGAAAACATTTTAACTAATTTCGGTGAAACTGGGAGTAATTTTGAACAATTTTTTTCAGCATTTTAGACAAATATTTCTCATTCTGGACCAGTCTTTGGTCAGATTTTTGGACATCGTGTTCGTGTCCATTTCAATAAATTCTGACTCATTTTGGACTGAACTGTTCTCTTTGATGTTCGTGTGGTTGTGCTTTGGGAAGTTGTGCTGAAACATTTGAAACAAACCATCTGAGCTGCAGCTCGACGACACGTTTCTGCGCCAGCTGATGTTTTTTTTTTTTACCACTGCAACGTGATTGTCGCTCTTCTCTGCAGATTCCTGCAACTTGTTCCTCTTCCTCAAAATGAAATTCAGGCTGAAGGGTCTCCGTTTGGACTCAGTTTAGGAGCTTCACATCTTTAGGTAGCTGCACTTCCAGGCAGCGTCGCAGGAGCGCTGGGAGCAGAGCATCGCTGCACCACAGGAAGACTTTGATGGCAACAGTTTGACTTTAACCACAAAAAGTCGTAACTAGAATCAAACTATCACTCAGATTCACATCATGCAGCTGTTTACACTAAAATAAGTTTTTTATAACTATTTTCTGCAGAAAAACTTCACCACAAAGCTCCACCTGCTCTTCTAGTCAGGTATCCTCTAAAGTTTGTCCGATTCTTTGGCTGTTTTCACTTCATTGATGCTGACAACAGTCCTGCTTTCTGCTCCTGCTGCTAAATGCTCGTCGATCTACCAGATCAAACATCACACTGAACATCTGCCTGTCTGTCGGCTAATAGCATCTTTCTATCTCTGCCTAGTTTGTCAGATGAAATCCTGCGGAGCTTTTTCTTTTTTGAGAATCTGCACAACACCACGGCGGAGGCTCTGGCGGGCGGAGACACAGCATTCACAACACGGCAACCTTTTCCTTATTTTATATAAAAACAATATGATTTGAAAATAAATATGGTTTACTGTTTTTTTACATAGACACAGAAAACATGTTAATAGTGAAGAAGAGACAAATAGAACTAATAATAATAATATAATAATAATATAATAATGGCTCTAAGACTGATGGCGGACAGGATCCAGATTTAAAATGGCGGCGCTGCTGCGGCGGCGGCGGCGGTGACGTTTGCTGAGCTGCTAGCAGAAGTTTTATTCGTATTTGCATCCTTTTTTTTTTTTGTCGTTGCGTACAAACGGACGGAAACACAGGGTCCGCTACTCACTTAAATACTTAAATACAACTTACTACACACAGACACATTCACACACACACACACACACACACAAACACACACAGTGAGAGTCTTTAGAGGGAGACGCCGTCGGCACAAACGATCCAGTTAGGGAATGTTAACAAATAGATTTTTTTTTTTTGTAGAAAAGCGATGATGATGAGATGAGCGCTGAGAGTAGCCATCAGTGACCTTAAACATGGAGGAGAAAGGACAGCCACAGGTACATAACACTGCATACATAAATAGACCAAATTAAATATGGGTAGACGCGTGAATACTGAAAAATACTCTATGACATGATAAATTATCTAGGGTGGACTATGGCGTAAAGGGATATTAAGTATGTACAGAGAAGATAATAATCAATGGATTCTGTATTGAGCTCTAACAAAACTACTTTGACAACCCCCCCCCTTCTCCTGAAAGTAATAATAATAATAATAATAATTTAAAAAGCACTCCAAGGATTTTTTTTTTCTCAGTACATGAGGCACAGGTTTCAGAATGGAATCAAACTACAGTATACAGGATATCTTCAGTGGTTTCCACGTAGCAGAGCGCTGCGATGACGACGACGGCGACGACGAGCGGTTATCCCTTTAGAAAAAGCAAGTATGGCACTCCGGAGTCTCGTCAGAGTCCGTCCTCGGAGGAGAGGCGAGCGACGTCCCGCCCGTTCGTTTACTCCACGAAAGCAGAAAAAAAAAAACAGTCCGTCAAAGCAAGAGCCACGTCCTCTTCAGTCTCGTTAAATACGTCTCAGGTCGAGAGGTGTCTTCTTCTTCTTCTTCTTCTTCTTTTTGTTTTCTTTGCGTGTTATGACCGACACACAACCACAGTAGACTCATATCCAGTGAAGTAATTGCATACAATGAATCGACAATAAGACTACACCTGCATGGCAAGCCGGTTAGAAATGCAAAAAAAAAAAAAACAACAAACAAAACAAACAAACAAAAAAAAACAACCACATGGCGGCTATTTCGCTTTTAGTCGAATGGTGGGTTTTAGTTACTCGTTTCTGTAGCAGCAATAACAACTCTGTACTCGTGTTTTGTTTTTTTTTGTTGTGTTTTTGTCGTATGGTCTATGTACACACAGATATACAGTGGGAGGAGACTTCAGTTCAGTCTTTTCTCTTTGTTCTCTCTCAGTCAGTCCGAGGGGAATGCTTTCCACAGAAAAGAAGAGCTTACGGTTCAAAGTGCTGTGCTGTGAAATATCGCGAGGATATTCCTTCATGTCGTACATCCGGTGCGCCGAGCACCTCTCTCATCTTCTTGGCTTGTCACATCTGAAACCAGAAGCAAAAGGACAGAAAGGCGAATGAGAGCCAGAAGCACGGGACGGTTTCTGAACAATTTACGGGTTATTTTACAGATTTTTCCGGTTTTGTTAAATTACATTAAAAAAAATAAAAATAAAAAATTGATTTACATTTTAAATGTTAAAACAACAACAACAACAACAACAAAAAAACAGGATAAATCTGTGAATCCCCACATAAAAAATCTGTATATTCAATCTTGTATAATTAAAAGAAAAAATTGTATATTAAGGAAAAAAATATTACATTAAAAATAAATTAAAACAAATGACATTCAAATCAGCATTTTTCTATTTTGGTTGATTTTACAAATGTTTCCCAGTAATTTAATAAAAAAATAATAAAATAAAATGATTTGTTTTTTGTAAAGTGTCTGTTTTTTTGTTTTTTTTTCAAAGCACGATACAAGACTCATGTATTAATATTGTTATTACTTAAAAGAAATTATACGTATTAAAGACTTAAACATGTTTTCTAGTTTTGTTAAATTATGTTCAGTATCTGGTTAAATCATAAAAAGAGCAACGATTTACAGGGAGCAGGACACAACTGTGAATAATGTCAAATGTCTGTATTTTTACATAATTTATGAAAAAAATTTAATAATTTATGTAATTTTTAAAATGTTTTTTTAAAATCTGTTTTATATGGTTTTTAAATCAACTAAATATATATTCATTTAAAAATATTTGCAGTAACTTTATAATGTTTTTACAGTTTATGAACATTACTGTAATCAACTTTTTAAAATTTATTTATTTATATTCGTTTTTAAACAGGAATTTTAGTGTTTTTTTTTTTCTTTTTTTAAAGTGCAGCAAATAAGAGAAACAGCCACTTCATTTTCTCTAAACGGATCGGTAATGGTGACTCATCTGCAGTAATTTTTCTGCAAATTCAGAGCAGCTCAAACTCATATTTTTGTCTTCTAAAGCTGATGAAAAACTTTGCAACCAGTCGATTATTTACACATTCAGAAACTAAAAACCTGAACATTACCAGTAAGGCTGATCTGAAGCTGCGTTTTCAGGCTGGATTTGCTCCGGTTTGGGCTCCACCGACTGCTGATACCGACATCAGGGTCTGTTCTGTGGCTCGGTGCTGAACACCGATTTGTGCATTATCAGTCCATTAAACTGCAGTTATCTCCGTATTTATACACACACATGGGCTGGTAGGACTTTCCTTCACATCCTGATAGACTCAGTCGACGTTATCGTCCGTTTTAATCACTGACAAATAGACCTCAACGGTGTCAGCCAGTCTCAGATCCTTTTCTAAACTCAGCAGCTTTAAACTTCTCCAAACGCCAACTGAGAGTGAAAGTAAACTCAAAACGGGACTAAAGTCAAAGAATAAACCATAATTACAGTCAGAGATGGAACTGAAGCTCAGGCCTGCTGGGTAAAAGTCCGCTGCTTTACACCAACACCTCTGAACGTGGACTTTTGTCCCTCTTGGAAGTGCTAATTTGCAGCTCAGCGGTGATTAAGGTGATAACAGGGAGCCAATAAAGGGGCGATAACAGCCCAGTCAGCCTACTGGGAGGTGTGGAAGGCCTCCACTGGGCCGGGCGGATGGGAATGCTGTGCGATAACGGCCTTTTAATGGGCTGATAACTTCCGAAAAAAAGGGGGCGGGCAGATACCGAACAGAGCAACCTCTGCTGGAAACAGCTGTGCGGGAGGAAATCAAAACAAAGAGCCGAAAGACGCTAAAACTCCCGACGGAGCTCCGAAAAACTGCAGACGTTGATGATTGTTTGTGGGTTTCCTGTAGTTCCAGGATTATCTCCACGGCCTTAATGGCACTGTAGAACGGTCTGACTGCACTCTGCTTTGTTTCTATCTCTTTCAACCAATCACAGCTGCGTTGGGCGGAGCTAAGCCCGGGATGCAGTGATGGTGCCCCATCATAATAGCGATGGGGAAACAGTTTTTTTTTTGCAGGCGGGGAGGCAAGAACTGTCATTTAAGTGGATCATTTAGTAAAAGAACCAAACAGAGCTTCATATAAATCCTAATTTTAACAGCTTCAGTGCACCGGTTGCTGTTGGGAGGTTGTCGTTGCCGTTATTTCTGGTTGCAAAAGGGTTTCTGTAAAACGCAGGTAGCGGGAGGGCAAAAGCTTCAGGCCTAAATCGACACTTTACCCTCATTTGGCTCATTGCTGTCATAAATTATCGATTAGAACACAAACTCCTCCTGGTTTTAGCCACGTTCGTTAGCATTTAAGCGAACCGCACGCATTCTTCCAGCACAACAGCGTGTAAAATGTACGTGGTGGTAATTGCAGCCTTATTCTGAGGCTGCTGCAGCCTGAAGCCGTCTGTGCTTTTCCACTTTTCACAGCTCCACACTGATCACGCTGCCGTTACCTCATGTGCTGCCGACTCGGGTTTATGGGAAGTGGTAATTTGGCTAAAACACACGTTCTAGCAGTTTATAGTCGTCGGGGTTTTTCCTGACTCAGAATGTGACTCCTGTACGAGTCCGCGTTACCTCATTTGACAGAAATCTCTGCGTTTTCCTGCTATTTCTGATGAACAAAAATGTCTATTATGCTCGAGCCCAATTAAAAAAAAACAGGTTTATTCTTGGGTCGTGTCATTCTGGCGCTGGATAAAACCTCTTTGGGGAGGCGCCAAGAGTTCCTCCATGCAGGGAAAAAGCCTGGCAGTATTAGCAGCTCTAATGGTTTCTGTCGTCACAGGGAACATGAGGGGAGAGAAGGAGGCTGAACACAGCATGAGGTGATAAAAATAATGCAGGAGCTGCAGTATTTTTGATAAGGAAAGGTAGAATATGGTACAACGCCATAAATGAGGCCACAGAGACGCCTACCAACGAGCTTCTGAAGATGTAAGATAACGTCTGGTGCACGCGAACGCAGGAATCACATCGGTTTAATGTTTGCGTGGAAAGTGCAAGAACGATCGGTTCCACTCAAATCATGATTAACATGGCATTACCTGTTAGCATATAGGAATAATTTGCAGTTTGTTAAAAGTATTTTAAAAAAAGCACAAAATTGTTGGTATATACAAAAAAGGTGCAAAGAATTGATGGAATCTACAAAAAAAGGTGCAAAAAATTGTTGGTATTTACAAAAAAGGTGCAAAAAATTGTTGGTATTTCTTTTAAAAAGGTGCAAAAATTGATGGAATCTACAAAAAATGTGCAAAAAATTGATGGAATCTACAAAAAAGGTGCAAAAAATTGATGGAATCTACAAGAAATGTGCAAAAAATTGTTGGTATTTACAAAAAATTTCTGGTATTTATAATTATTACTGTGAGATTGAACTTTTTGTCCCTGTCATTCTCATCTTTTACAAGTGTTATTTCTTATTTCACATTATTTTTATTTCTTATTTTCCTGTGGCTGCATGCTAACTTAGCCGCTAGCCGTTAGCCTCTGTAGCTAGCTTCCTGGTTTGTGGTTCTGGTGTTTCAGTTTTTGCAGGTTTTGTCTTTGTGCTCTCAGCTAGCAGAGCAGCGCACATAATCTATCGATAACTGGTTAGTAAAAATGCCAAACATCGGCACACGTAAGCGTCCTATCCCCCTTCTCCCGAAGCTCCGGTTTGAGTTTCCGGCAGCGTCACTTACTTGCAGGTCCTCTCGTTGAGCTCTAGCTGGCGCTCTTTACAGTACTCGTCTGTGTGTTTGCAGGAGCACCGGCAGGTCGAGGGATCCTGCACAAACAAACGCTTTCTCCTCTCTGAGCAGTGATCGCAACATGGCTCGCAAACGCTGGACGGAGACAGACAAGACAGAGATGGAGAGACGTTATCATCACCACAGTGCACCACCACCACCATCACCACCACCACCACCACCGCCCCCCCAGCCGGACACGAGGAAAGGTCGCCCTCGGGTCGACCCCTCGGCTCGCTCCGGTCTGCCCTCCGAAGCCAAGCCGCTCTGCGCGTGACAGCTGGGTAGAGTTGCACACAGGTTCCCACTGAGCAGGCAAAAAAAAAAAAGAAAGAAATCCAGGCAGTAAAATTACCCTCGGCACACCCCCACACCTCCCGCCATGATTGGACCGCTGGCAGATGTTTGTGTTAGACATGCAGGGTTCATGCAGCACATATACCGCAGGTCAATGACAGCACACGCTCACTCTGACAAACTCCTGGTAAAGAAAACTCGAGGGTCTGCTGGGTGCTCCGTTAAACACAGATTTCATTTTATTGACTATTTTTTGTTTCGGTTTGTTTTTTCCCCCCAACACACAGAGAAAGAGACAAAAAAACGTTCTAAAAAAGTACATTTCTTCAGATTGTGCTCAGTAATGTACAAATGACACATGAACATACACACAGGAATCACAGTTTGAAGAAACATGAGATCATCTTTATATTAGTTCTGGATCTTTTCTTCTTTTTTTTAAGAGACAAACAAAACAAAACAACAGCACTTGAGAAACCGTTTGCCGGCGTACAAACCTCCCCTAGCAGCGACCACAAACAGATAGCCATCACTCACATCTTCACATTACATACAAAAAAAAAAAAAAGTACCAGCATTAGGCAACAACAACAACAAAAAAAACAGTTTGTAGAGATGAAAACGAGGAGGGAACGGGGGAGACACAGCAAAGCGGCACAGACTCAACACCGAGCGTTACAGCCGCCGTGATCCCGGCGCTGATACAGGAGCTGCTGGTGCGTCGGGTTACAGCTGATCTGGGATCTGTCTATTCCAGCTTCTTTAAACATGACCTACAAGCGTCTACCGGAGGTTTACGGTTCCCCGCCGTATCTCCACAAACAGACGTCTTGCAAACATTGTGTAAGGCGGAGATTAGGCGGACATTTGTTTTGTTCTGTTAAGGGTCCGTTTGTGTGCGAGGCCTCTTTCTGCTGAAGCTACGTTAGCGAGACACGGGACAAGAGTTAGGACACGGAAGCAACATGCTAACTGAGCTGATTGAATTAAAAACGGGACAACAAGGAATTAAAAGGGGCAAAGGAGCTCCTCCCAAATTAGCTTAATTATGAGAAGCGCAACACTCAGGTGCAGGTAGGTGGAGAAGGCGGAGCTGACATACGCGTCGTGAATTGTTTTGTCGCGGTTTTTCTTTCGTTTTCTCTTTAGGCCTTTGCCCTTCCGGGATTTTCTGCAAGAGAGAGAGGACAACAACGCAGAGAGAGAGAGAGAGAAGCCTGAGAGACTGACGAGAGAGAAGATCGAACCAAAAGAAATCTGTGCTTTTGAAATCAGAGCCAAGCAATCAGGCACATCAGGGCAGTGGTTGGCTGGTTGGTTTTTTTAAAGCGATTTTTCGGGATTGTTGGAGGGAAAGCATCAGAGAAGGTTCACAGAGGAGTCTTGTGTGGATTCAAAGATCTGAAATGAGCTTTTCTAGAAGCTAAAATGTGCTCTGATCTGTAAAAACACACCCAGGATGACGCAGGTTCAACCGCCGGCGTGAGAAAGTCTTTTTTTTTTTAATGAAACAGCACAATGACGCTGCAGAGAGTCGGAGGAAATGAATAGTTTGCCGCGAGGGAAAGTCTCCCAGAAGAATTCAGGACAATAAACACCCCCCAAAAAAATAACTTGCATCTGGGTCGAGCCTTTCTCGCTGATTCACCTTGTTCCGGACAAACAGGTGTGAGCCGAACACCTGGTGCAACGCTGCAGAAAGTACACGAGGAAACTTTTGTTCTACCTAAAAACCAGAGCAGAAGGACCGGCTGAAGGCGACTGTGTGCTATTTAGAGGCAGAAAACTACAAAATGGTATAAAAACAAGTGTGTCCGGCGTATCGGAGCAGGTTCTGGCAGCGCTGCAGAACACGTCTCATGACCCGAGGACCCGTCTCGGCAGAACCTTCGTCGCCCTGGTACTGAGTCGAACATCGATGTTTTTTTTTTGTTATGCAGCAGCAGGTTCGATTTCATAACAAAGACTCGTCCTTGATCTCATGGGTGTCTGCTTTCGGTTTGAGACGACAGAAAAATAAAAACCCTCCGAATCTGAAAATGCACCAAAAAAAAGCAAAAAAGGCTCCTTTATCAGCCAGAAACGGTAAAAACAGGAAGAACTTCAAGTGTCCGACAGCTGAGGTTGTGATATTTCATCAAAATCACTCATCTGATTATAGAAAAATCGACCAAAAATCATCTGTTTCCTCTCAACAGATTCTATAAAAAGCAAAAAATTCTGCGTTTCTCTGCGTAACAGGAAATTCATCTGTAGTCAGCTGTGACCGAGAGTCATGTGAGGAAAAATTCAGAGAGTTTTCCAGGTTGAACTGCAGCCAGTGTTTCCTCAGAGAGACTGAGAGGAAAATAAAAACTACTGGATCAATGAATCAATTGGTGGAGATACATCCAGCTGATGGTGGAACATCTTTCTACATCTGATGGTGGAACATCTTTCTACATCTGATGGTGGAACATCTTTCTACATCTGATGGGGAAACAGACTGCAGAGGTTGTAAACATGGAGATAGTTAAATATCTACAGTTTGTGGAGGCAACTTTTATCTCAGGTGTTGGTAACATCTGTGGACGCGGTTTTCCCATTTTTGATATTCTGTTGCAACTTTTTGTGTCATTTTTGCATCATTTGTGCACCTTTTTGTGTCTCTTTGTGTCTCTTTGTGTCACTCTGCTTGTGTCGTTCTTCTCCCTCCTTCTGGTTCTGGTTGTTCTGTTCTGTGCAGGACTTTATGTTCCAGTGAAAAATGAACCCACAGTGAGTGAAAACATGACAGGAGCCAGTAAACACCTCATCCTGCCACAGGTGTATTCAGTTTGAAGACATTCAGTCGATGGAAATCCCTCGTTTGAACCCTTTAACCTTTAATTTTCCACTAAAACGGCACTCAGGGTTCAATCAGAAAACTATAGTTTAAAAAAGCCTCCAGTCACGTCAGCAGCCCTGTGAGCTAAACATCAACATGCTAACATGCTAACAGGCTAGCAGTGACCCAGATGACATGTTGATGTTTGACAGGTGTAATGTTTAACACGATCCCGGCTCACTGCTGTAAAACAACTCCGAACATTCACTTCAGCGCTCGTGTTTACGCTTCTACCTGACAGCTTTCGTTATTTCACAGTTTATAAACGACTGAACACGATCACCAGCGGCCCCGTGTCGCAGGAAAGCCCCGCGGTGACGCATTATTACCAGATTAAGATCAAACTTTATTGATCTCCAGCAGGTCAATTTACAAGCTGCTCAGCAGTAAATTAAGTCATTAAAATCAGCTTCACCTGCACCAGCCGTCATATAAACCCTCTGAACTCACTTTTTGTTTTGGTCTCATTTTCACTCACTGTGGGTTCATTTTAAAAACAACATAAAGTCCAGCAGCTCTACAGAAACAGAACAAACCACGAAGGAGGAGAGAAAGCCCAGAGATGTGTTTTTATAATCATAAAAAAATACCTTTATTTTACAACTCTTCAGCTGTAGACAGATGTTCCACCATCAGCTGGATGTATCTCCAACATCTGGTTCCTCTGTTCTCTGGTTCTGATCCATGCTGCACTGCCTGCAGTTCAACCTAAAAACTATCTGAATTTTTGTCACCTGACTGTTGGTCACAGCCGAAGGACTAAAACTTTCCCTGATGCAGAAGAAAATGTAGAATTTTTTGCTTTTTACAGAATCTTTTTAGAGCAAACGCTTTATTTTTTGGCAAATTTTTAAATCAGGCATGTAGGAATAAAGAGATATTGATAAAATGTTGATAATTTTCCCGACAGAACAGGACTTCACAGATGAGTAGAGTTTCTGCCTGATAGATTGTGTATTTTTTTGAGATTTAAATATATAATAATAATAATAACATGCCTTTTAAACCAGGTCTGTGGTTCAGCAGATTAATACCTCAAGAATTATCATCCAATAAAATAACACATACTATTCTGAAACTCACAGTTGTGCATACTTTTGGTCCATTTCAGGATATTTTGCCACTAAAGCTGTTAAATGCATGACTTTCATTGTGCTACTTCTATCTGAGCTCTTCTTCCACCGTCGTAGCTTAGTGTGTTAGCATGCTAGCATGAGGAAAGCTGAGCCCGGTGAGAATGTCAAGTTAGTTTTGCAGATATTTAAGCCGATGATGATGAAAGCATTGCTGCTGGAGGAAGAGCTGCACAAAATAAACTCCGAGTCCAGTGTTTGTGGGGATTTTTCAGAGCGGATAAACTATCCGACGCCTCCAGCCGACCTGCTAAACGGGGCAAAAAGTTATGTTTTGACTTTTCCAGGAAACGTTTCGCATCCGAATCCGCGAAGGTGCGGAAGTCTGGACGACAGATCCAACAGGACGGACCTGACGCCTCGCAAATGTGAAAACTTCCTCTTTGAACGTTGACAGTTGACTCCTCGCTTTCACAACTTTTTTTTTTTTTTTCAGACCCCCGAGGCCTGGAGGGGAAAGCATCAACCCGAGGTTAAAGAACGGCTTATCTATACGACAGACGACCCGGCATAAAAACCAAAACACGGCCGACAAACGCCTCGAAAAATATTAACAGCCACTGGCAGGAAAAAAGGGAGGATTAAAGGGGTTTTAATGATGCTGACGGCTGCAGGAGGGAGGAGCGGGCTATAAACAGAAACGCTTAGCAGGTCTTCAGAAACACTGTTATCTGTGTCAGAGCGGCGAGAAACAGGAGTTAAAGGATGTAAACAGTAAAAGAGCAGGAATGTGACGGAGGGCAACGACCTCAGCTGTCACTCATTCACCTGCTAATCACCTCCCAAGATGATCTCATGTAGCTCGGCCACTGCGGCTTCAAGGAAATATAATCACATCGGAGTGTTTTTTTTAAAGTGTGTGCGTATAAAAAGAAGAGTTAAAGTGGAAATAACAGGCAGAATAATTAACCCTCTGAACTCCAAACCAAGCTGGCCAGTTTGAAAAGGTGATATTGTTTTAAAAAAATGTTTAAAAAATCGCCAAAAATACACCGTTTATTAGAACCAGAAACTGAAAAAATAGAAAAAATCTGTGGATTTGCACCTTCTCGATGAGTCTTTAAGTTATTATTTGTCATGTTTGGTTCCATCTGGGAAATTAACCAAATCTAGGCTCAAAATCAGGATATTTTTATTTAAATACCAGCTTTAATCTACACATCTCGTTTAAAAAAAATTGCCAAAAATAAACGATTTGCAGGAAAGAGTTGCTGTAAAATACAAAAAATTTAGCAATCCTTCACAAAGCCAAGACTTCAAAACTGACTCGGCTGCGACCAACAGTCACATGACAAAAATTCAGACAGTTTTGGGCTGAACTGCAGGCAGTGTTTACACAGAGCCAAGCGTTAAACTGTAAAGTGTTGAATATCTGCAATAAAACATGTTGCTAACACTTGTAAAAATGCTCCACATGTTGATTCCAGGTGTTTTTATGTTTGTAAAATAAATAAAATACTTCAACTTTAATGGTTTTTGCCTTTTTTGTTCCTGATTTCTGTCGATCTCTGAGTTCTCTTTCCTCCTTCACACCGTTCTGTTTCCACAGACGTGAAAAACGGTGAAAACGGCCAGAAAGCTGCTGCTCGGAGTTCAGAGGGTTAAGCACAACAAGCGCCTGTGGTTGACTGTCGGACAGGCGGAGAGCTGCAGACCACTGAGGGTTTGTTTGCAGAGCAAAACAGGAAAAAGATCAAATCTCAAGTCCCCATTGTTTCCCCCCCAGAAATCCCAGTGTCCATGCAGAAAGAGCGCTGTACTCACTTTTCTTTCTGTTCTTTCACTTCTTTCTTTAACCTGAAAGGCAGGAGCAGAACAACAGGGCGTTAGATGGCGGCTGTTTCGCAGGTAAACAGATACACATCGAGCTCATCAGATTATCAGCATGGGTGGGCTCGCATCACGTCACCGCCGCTTACCAGAAACCACCGCGATAAAAAACATTGGCCTCTTTCACTTTTAAATGTCTGGCTGAGTAAATGAAATAGAGCTGTTGGGAAATAATGAACACACACACACACACACACACACACACACACACAAAGGGGTGTGTTCATTGAGGGACACAAACACAATAGAAAGTTGTCAGGTTTGTTTCACTTCTCGTCCATGTGACAGCTCCTGCCGATAACAGCGTATGGAGCAATAAAGCTGCTGGCGCGCTGCAGCGGCAACGGTTGGCCAAAAAGTGTTAGGAAACTGTGTTTCCTTCGAGAAGGTCGCGGACTCGCTGCCAAGTTTCTGTTTGACAGACGGTATAATGCAACAGCTCCACAAGAGTGTGCTGAGCGTGTACACGTACGATCGTATGCGCGACGTCTGCAGGCCGAGACTCACCGAGGGCATCAAACACCCTGAGACCGGCTTCAGGAAGGATCAAGATTCTTTAAAGGGCCCAAATTCTGTATGTTTGCAGGCTCATGTTAGTATTTTTAGCTACTTTTCTGCTCTCCACCTGTTTAAAGGTTGTCCAAAACGACAAAAAATGACCAAAGTCACGACAATTGTGTCCAAAATTACCCAAAATAATGTGTTTCATGCTAACTTCTGTCCACGCCAGATGAATTCTGGTCCAAAAAAATGCACAAAATGACTCAGAAATGACTTGAAACTTGTTCAAGATTGCTTAAAATAAAGTTTGCAGACCCTAAACTTTCACAAACATGACATGACAGGGAAAGGAGCTCGTCCAAAATGGTTTAAAAAAATTCAAAATGACTCTAAATGATGCAAAAAATGCTCCAAAATGACTTGAAACTCATTCAGGATTACTCAAATTCAAGTGTGCAGAGGTTTAACTTTAACACAAAAACCAGCTACATAACACACTAAGGGAAAGGTGTTTGTCCAGAGTGACTCAAAACTTGCTCAGGATTACTCAAACTGAACTTTGCAGACCTTTTACGTGGCAGCTCGATACCAGTCTGAAGGAAAGGAGGAGTCCAATGAAAGAATATAAACCGTTTAATGTGTTTGTGTCTCTGTGTGATCATTTTCTACTCTCCACGTCTGACAAAAACCCGTCTGAAATGACAAAAAATGCACAAAGTGGCTCTAAATGTGTCAAAAACGACTCAAAAAATTGCCCAAAATGACATAAAAACTGCACAACATCACCCAAAACTTACTGAGAATTCCTCACATTCCAGTTTGCAGAGCTTTTACATGCTCAAAAAGGCAGCTACACACCAGTATGAAGAAAAAGTGGACCTAAAAAATTAGAATATGGACTTTTTAAGCGAAGCTACCGACGGCAAAATGCAAAACTTCTCAACTACAAGCAATAAAACCGCATTCAACGAAGTAAAAGTGATGTTTTACCAACAAAGTGTCGCCTAAACTACCTCCGTGGCTCTGTAGAAAGGTCTGACTGCACCTCATTATCATTCTGCTATAAGGAATAAAAAACACTTTGGATGGTTTGTATTCCTTTAAACCAATCACAGTCATCCTGGGCGGAGTTTAGCCCAGGATGCAGTGATGGTGGCCCGGACAGAGGAAATGTTTTGGTGGAACATTTGAGGTACAAACTGCGATCAAAATCTCAAATTTGCTGTAAAAAAACAAGCAGAGCCGCCTTAAAAACAAGTAAAAACCTGAAATATTAAAACAAAACTTGCATTTTTTTGCTGCTCGGAGGTTGACGGAACAGAAAAAAACCTGAAATGTGTCGCGGAAATGGCAAATTTATATGAAAATCGACATTCAGGGTCTGATTTTTTACACTTAAATGCTTTTGCGCAGCAGATTTTATTGTTAGCGATCAAATGATGCTGCTGCAGCTGTAACTGAGCCACAAAATTTCACTCCGACACGTTTAGCATTTGTAAAAACACACATTTTACAACCGTTGCGGTCGTAATTTAATGCCTGTATATCCTTTCCTGGACATTATAATAAAGTTAAAAGTCAACAGAGCCTCTAAACTTTTACAGCACTGAAGGTTTATGGCGACTTATTGAGCTGCAGAAAAACAGCTGGAAGCGTAAAGAAACTTTAAAAGTTTACAACAAGGAGCTCGAACAGGAGGCATAAAGTGACACCGAGCATCACGACTCGGCCTTCAGCCAAAAAGCTTTTTTTGTTTTTTCCTCGTTGGATTTCCCTGAAACGTGGGAGGACGGTCGGCGTCACGATTTGACGGCTGCTGTCACGTCCACAGATGTGAGCGGCAGGAAGCGACGGCAGCTCTGGGAAACATGACGGACGTGTTAATGATCGGCTCCGGGGCTGCAGACGACGATGCAAAAAACACGACGGAAAACACGCAAACAGGATCCGAGTTTAGCCGACAAGCGAAACAAATCTTAGTAAGCGGATGCAACTCCGGTTCTAAAGTGAAAAATTGGAGTTTAAGTTAAAACATATGGAGAATTTTACACTTTTGATGAGAAAACTGACACTGGATGAGCAGAAAAAAGTGCATTTTAACCCTCTGGACTCCATTTTTTGCCTATTTTTCGCTGTGCAATGACAGAAAATGGAGGCGAACATACTACAGATATTCAACTTTCACAGCATTTATAAACTCTGACAGACAGTTTGGTCTCTTTTCTGTCATTTTACTTCTCATTCATGTTGTTTTGTATCTCGTTTTTGTCGTTTTTCGTCTAGATTTTGTCATTTTTATGTGTTATTTTTATGGTTTTGGTCTCAATTTCACCATTTTATGTCTAATTTTAGTTATTTTGTGCCGTGTATTTATTGTTTTACTTCTCATTTTGTGTCTCATTTACATTATTTTGTGTCTCTTGGTGGTCGTTTCGTCTCCTCGTCCTCCAGATGTTGAACTATCTCCATGTCTCCAGACTTTTCCTCTCTGCTCTGCTCATGCTGCATTTATTTATTGATCCAGTCGGTTGGATTTTCCTCTCAGTCTCTCTGAGGAAACACTGCCTGCAGTTCAACCTGAAAACTCTCTGAATTTTTGCAACGTGATTGTTGGTCACAGCTGAGCTCCAGATGACTTCCCTGTTGTGCAGAAAAATGCAGATTTTTTTGCTTTTTATAAAATCCAGAGAGAGCTAACGGTTTATTTTTGGTTCATTTTTAAATCAGACGAGTGATTTTAATGAAATATCACAACTTCAAGCTTAGATTTTGTGAGTTTTATTGACAGAACAGCCTGAAAACTCTCTGAATTTTTGCAACGTGACTCTTGGTCGCATCAGAGTCATTAAAGGCTTTTCGTTTGCACACAAAAATGCAGAATTTTTTGTTTTTTTACACAATCTGGTTAAAGCAAATGTCTTATTTTTTGCAGAATTTTTAAATCAGACATGTAGAATAAAGCGATTTTGTTGAACTTTTTCACCGTTTATTAAAGCTGAGGAGCTCACAATTTGTTGTTTTATATACAGGATTCTGTTTTGCAAGTTAGAATAAAGTAAATTTCATTTAAAATATTGCAACTACAAGCTTAGATTTGGCTAATATTTCTGATGGAACCACGCATCTCAGATGATCAGTCCGAGGATCGTTGAAAAGTTGAATAGGCGTTGAACTTTTCAGTTTTTACGGTTTCTTCCTGTGACAGATTTTTTTCAAAATAAAACAACGCCGGCAGTTTCTCGTCTCAGAACGATTCTGACACTCAGAACGCGCACAAAGGTTCAGGCTGCACTAAAACTAGCTGCATCTCATGGATGATCGGATTAAAGTACAACTCGAACGGCAGGCGTCGCCCGGCTGTGACTTCAGGCCACAAAGACAATCATCTGGGATCAATAAGTGAAGCGACGCAGCTGCAGCAGCAGTGACCTCCGAGAGGAAGAGCAGAATATCAGGAATGAGGATGAATCCACGGCGATTTGTTTAAACCTGCTCAGGATCAGGACTGTGATGGGAGCGATAAGAATCTGTCGGAGACCAGCGGCGAGTTTACGGGTTTGTGTGCTGTTGAGTGTGTTGCGGGTTTCTTACCTACACTCACATGCGCTGTGTTCTGTAAAACTCATGAAAATGTCATTTTGTTGCCTTTGGGGTTTTATTCTTTTAATCTGCAAAAGACAAAAACAAGAAGAAGAAGAAGAAGAAGTCAGAGAGGAACGAATACAAAAAGCTGTAAGGTTTCAGAAATGTTGGAAGTTTTGTTCTTGTTTGGGCTCGAAAACGTCAGAAAATGACGAAAAACGTCGGTTTTGTCCAAAGATGTTCAGTTTATGGTCACAAAGGAGGAAAGAAACCAGAAAATATTCACATTTTAAAGCTGCAATCACAGAATTTAGACTGAATCTGTCAAGAAAATTAAATGTTTGGTTTTTAAAATGTGGATCAGTGGTTCCTCAAATGTCTGGTTTTGTCCACAGAGGAGGAAAGAAACCAGAAAATGTTCACCTTTAAGAAGAATTTAGACTTTTTGCTTGTTGTAAAACTACTTTAACCCATTAATCGATCGTGAAAGTCGTCACGTTTCTGCGTTTCCTTCAAACGTCTGGCCGATAAGTGGAGCGTAGCCGAGATTATTTTCAGAAATCATATGAATCTGAGTCTGTTTCTGTCTTTTCAGTAGAAAATAATGATTTAAAATGCTGCAAATATGAGCTTTTTATGTTGATTTAGATTTAATTAAGTCTAAAAAGGCTGCAGGTGGAACTTTAGGTTAAAAAAAACTGTATATCTACCAGATGTTGAATCATTTTGGTTGCATTATGAACTCCTGCTTATAAAATCTTATGGAACGTTTGGTTCTAAAACTGCAAAACTTCCAAATTTTAATGTTTTTTAAAGTTTTCAAAGGCTGCACTAAATGTTTTGCACCAAACAATCCTAAAAATCTGATGTTTTTATGACTTCTGTTTATTTTTTTTGCTTCTTTGTGAAGCACGCTGTAGTTT